GCACTGTAGGTTTCTATGATTAATTTCTAAACCTGCAGGGTACAGTTTTGATTCTTGGCTTAGAGCCACCCTACGAGAATTTGTTGGTTTTGCCATCATCCTTATGGATTTCTTTAGTCATGGATGAGACACTGATTTACATTACCGTTCTAAATATTTTTTACTTGTTTAGGGTGAAAGCCTGATAATCCAATATAATAGAGGGGAAGTCCCAGACACATAATTGAAATGGGTGTAGAATTGAAAATGCACACAGGACTGACTTCCATTGAGGTCATGACCTGAATCTGTTTAGCTCAATTAACAAATTGAATGATGCCCAGCCTGAAAAAGCCTGTTCTAAGGATGCCTAGCCTGAAGAAGTTACCCTCCTCCCTCTGGACAAACCTCAGGGGATCTCTCTCCCACTGCAACTCTCTCGTAATCTCTTCGGCCCTGAAACTGCTGGACCATGTCCTGAAGCAAACCAGGTGCTACAGCCACATCACCTTTCTTAGCACCTGCCTACGGAACCAGATCATCCCCAATGGACTACAATCCACATTCAAGCCTTCCCAATTTGGCCCCAACCGTGACAATATCTACGCTCATGGCATTGAGATCCTTCAGAAGCGTTTCTCCCTGCGACTCCTGAAACACATACTCGCAGCAATGCGCCGGCATCTCCAGGCACTACAATCAAGCCTACCCCAGCTCAGAGCTTCCGTCTCCCAGACCTGCAAAGGACCTCTCCTGTTTTTTATTCTTCGTAGGATCCACAACCTGAACTCACAATTCTACTCAGCTTTATTGGACACTATAAACCGTAAGTACAGTAAACTTACTGGTGCCTACCACCCAAAATGGGCTTCCTCCACCCCCGAAATCCCCAGCCGTACCCAGGACCTTCCCCACAATGGGCCCACCGCCATTGGCCATGAGGCCACTATCGGCGAACCCACAGATGCCGTCACATCCGCCACCGCCGGGTTCCCCAATTCCGGGACAGCGAACACCATCGCTGCCATTGCCACTGCCTCCATTTCCGAGACCAACACCACCGACACTGAAGTCGCGACTACCGTCACCGCTACTGCCTCTGCCTACCCCGTTCCCCCCACCGCCGACGCCGCTCCGCCCATCACCGACGCGGACACAACTCCGCCCACTGCCGGCGCAACTCCGCCCACCGCCGACGCAACTCCACCCACAGCCGACACCGACGCAACTCCACCCACAGCCGACGCCGATGCAACTCCGCCCACAGCCGACGCCGACGTTGCTCCGCCCACAGCCTCCTCAGCCAACAGCTCCAGAGGGGACAATAACACCAAGCCCTGCCGAGCCTTCACCATCCCCCCAGACCTACCCCTTACTGAAGACGAACGGTCAGTCTTCAGCAAAGGGCTCACCTTTGTCCCCCTCCACCCACAGATCAACGAATACCGCTCACGCTTGGACATAGAGCAGTTTTTCCGCCGCCTCCGCCTCCACGCTTACTTCTTCAACCGTGAACCTAACCCTCCCTCTACTGACCCCTTCTCCCGCTTCCAACACACCCCCTCCTCCTGGACACCACCCCAAGGCCTCCTACCCTCCCTTGACCTCTTCATCTCCAACTGCCATCGAGACATCAATCGCCTCAATCTCTCCACCCCTCTCACCCACTCCAACCTCTCACCTGCAGAACGTGCAGCCCTCCGCTCCCTCCGCTCCAATCCCAACCTCACCACAAAACCCGCGGACAAGGGAGGCGCAGTTGTAGTATGGCGCACTGACCTCTACATCGCCGAAGCCAGACGCCAACTCTCCGACACCTCCTCCTACCAACCCCTTGATCATGACCCCCACCCCTGAGCACCAAGCCATCATCTCCCAAACCATTCACAACCTCATCACCTCAGGTGACCTCCCACCCACGGCCTCCAACCTCATCATTCCCCAACCCCGCACTGCCCGCTTCTATCTCCTTCCCAAAATCCACAAACCTGAATGCCCTGGTCGACCCATTGTCTCCGCCTGCTCCTGCCCCACCGAACTGATCTCCAACTATCTGGACTCCATTTTCTCCCCCTTGGTCCAGGAACTCCCTACCTATGTCCGTGACACCACCCACGCCCTCCACCTCCTCCAGAACTTCCAATTCCCCGGTCCCCAACACCTCATCTTTACCATGGACGTCCAGTCCCTCTACACCTGCATTCCCCATGCAGATGGCCTAAAGGCCCTCCGCTTCTTCCTGTCCCGCAGGCCCGACCAGTCCCCCTCCACTGACACCCTCATCCGCTTAGCCGAACTCGTCCTCACCCTCAACAACTTCTCTTTCAATTCCTCCCACTTCCTACAGACAAAAGGGGTGGCCATGGGTACCCGCATGGGCCCAAGCTACGCCTGCCTCTTTGTAGGTTACGTGGAACAATCCCTCTTCCGTACCTACACTGGCCCTAAACCCCACCTCTTCCTCCGTTACATTGATGACTGTATCGGCGCCGCCTCGTGCTCCCACGAGGAGCTCGAACAGTTCATCCACTTCACCAACACCTTCCACCCCAACCTTAAGTTTACCTGGACCATCTCTAATACCTCTCTCCCCTTCCTGGACCTCTCTGTCTCCATATCGGGCAACCACCTCGAAACCGATATTCATTTCAAGCCCACCGACTCCCACAGCTACCTAGAATACTCCTCCTCCCACCCACCTTCCTGCAAAAATGCTATCCCCTATTCCCAATTCCTTCGCCTCCGCCGCATCTGCTCCCAGGATGAGGCATTCCACTCCCGTACATCTCAGTTGTCCTCGTTTTTCAAGGACCGTAACTTCCCCTCCTCGGTGGTCGAGAACGCCCTCAACCGTGTCTCCCACATCTCCCGCACCTCATCCCTCACACCCCGTCCACGCAATAAAAACCAAAAAAGAATCCCCCTCGTCCTCACGTACCACCCCACCAACCTCCGGATCCAACGCATCATCCTCCGACACTTCCGCCATCTGCAATCCGACCCCACCACCAAAGACATCTTTCCCTCCCCACCTTTATCTGCTTTCCGGAGGGACAACTCTCTCCGTGACTCCCTTGTCCGCTCCACACTCCCCTCCAGCTCCACCACACCCGGCACTTTTCCCTGCAACCGCAGGAAGTGCTACACCTGCCCCCATACCTCCTCCCTCACCCCCATCCCAGGCCCCAAGAAGACTTTCCACATCAAGCAGATGTTCACCTGCACATCTGCCAATGTGGTATACTGCATCCGCTGTACCCGGTGTGGCTTCCTCTACATCGGGGAAACCAAGCGGAGACTCGGGGACCGCTTTGCAGAACACCTACGCTCGGTTCGCAATAAACAACTGCACCTCCCAGTCGCGAACCATTTCAACTCCCCCTCCCATTCCTCAGACGACATGTCCGTCCTGGGCCTCCTACAGTGCCACAACGATTCCACCCGAAGGTTGCAGGAACAGCAACTGATATTCCGCTTGGGAACCCTGCAGCCCAATGGTATCAATGTGGATTTCACAAGCTTCAAAATCTCCCCTCCCCCTACCGCACCCCAAAACCAGTCCAGCTTGTCCCCGCCTCTTCGACCTGTTTGTTTCCTCTCCACCTGTCCTCTCCTCTATCCATCTTCTATCTGCCTCCCACTCTCTCCCTATTTATTTCAGAACCCCCTTCCCCTCTCCCTTTTCTGATGAAGGGTCTAGGCCGGAAACGTCAGCCTTTCTGCTCCTATAATGCTGCTTGGCCTGCTGTGTTCATCCAGCCCTGCACCTTGTTAAATTAAAGGATAGGGCAGGCAAGCGGAATTGAAGTGAAAGGTCAACTGTAATATTATTGAATGATGGAGAAGTGTTGAGGGGTCGTATGGCCTCCTCTGACATATTCCTATTTCTTCTGTTCTAATACCTGACCTAAAGATGCAGTGCAAAAGAAGCAGTGAAACAGTTATAAAATACCCAACGCAAGATTGCAGGGAAACACTCAAACCAGCTAATACTTGCAGTTTATAGCCAATAACTAAGAAGTGACTTTACTTCTTATTTTCTTTATGTCTTTTCTATTTTGTCCTTTATTCTCAAGGATAATTATATTACAAACTACTCAAAAGGTACTTTTGATGTAAAATTGTGAAGAAGTTTGGAAGGCCATGGAGAATGAGCAAGTCAGAATTGAGTAAAATAATAAGTTCTGTCGAGAAGTCAACATAGAGGTGAAATGCTGAATGTCCTCCACTATGCTGTGATTGTATAATAAAATTAGATGCTGAGCACATAGAGTTCCCCACATAAAGTTTTCCAAAAGTTGGTTTATTGAAGGACTAACTATCCTTTCTGTGGTAGGCCTGACCCAGACTATGGCCAGCAGAATTTCTGACCCCTCTTCTTTTGGAGACTAATGATGCCCTTTGCCTTCTTAGGTTCTAATCAAAATCCATGCTTGTGGAATAAATCCAGTTGAAACTTACATGCGTGCTGGAACCTATCCTAGGAAGCCATCCCTGCCCTGGACACCTGGAAATGATGTTGCGGGAGTTGTGGAACAAGTGGGACAATTTGTCAGCAAATTTAAGGTTATTTGTTGAATTTTTAATAGTGTTAAAATGATTCTGCTATCCCAAAAATTGACTTGAATTTTTTTTGAAAGACTGTTTTTTGGCAGGCATATTTTTTCTCTTAAAAACTCTGAATGTGCCATGGACAAAAACTTGTGTTTGTGTTAAAAAAAAGTGTGGAGCTGGAAGAACACAGCAGGCCAGGCAGCATCAGAGGAACAGGAAAGTTGACGGTTCGGGTCGGGACCCTTCTTTAGAAATGGGGAGGGGGAGGGGAGCTAAGAAATAAATAGAGAGGAGGAGTAGGGCTGGGGAACGTAGGTGGGATGGTGATAGGAACGTGCATGTAGGCAGTGGTTGGGATTGGTCAGTGAGGTGGGAGTGGCGGATAGAGGAGAGAGAAGATGGTCAGGTTGTATCAGGTCAAGGAGGCGGGGAGGAGAGGGAGGGTTAGTCATGGGATGAAGCTGGGAGTGGGGAGATGTTGAAACTGGTAAAATCCACATTTAGGCCATCGGGCTATAGGCGGAATATGAGGTGCTGCTCCTCCAGTTTGCGGGAGGCGCCATTGTGATACTGGAGGAGGCCCAGGATCAACATGTCACCCAGGGAATGGGAGGGGCAGTTAAAATTTTTCCCGACCGGAAGGTGTTGTTGTTTGTCGCTACAGAGTGCAGATGTTCTACAAAACAGTCTCCGAGTCTCTGCTTGGTCTCACTGATGTAGAAGAGGCCGCTGCATCCGAAGTAGCCTCCTCTACATGGGTGAGACCAAGCAGAGACTCGGAGACCATTTTGTAGAACATCTGCGCTCTGTACATGACAAACAACAACACCTCCTGGTAGCAAAACATTTTAAGTCCCCCTCCCACTCCCTGGGTGACATGTCCATCCTGGGCCACCTCCAGTGTCACAATGACGCCACCCGCAAATGGGAGGAGCAGAACCTCATATTCCACCTTGGGAGCCTACAGTCCACTGGCCTAAATGTGGATTTTACCAGTTTCAAAACCTCCCCACTCCCGGCTTCATCCCATGACCAGCACTCCCACTCATCTCTGCCTTCTTGACCTGACGCAACCTGTCCATCTTCTCTCCCACCTATCCGCCACTCCCACCTCACTGACCAATCCCGACTACTGCCTACATGCCTATCACCATCCCACCTATCTTCCCCAGCTCCACCCCTCCTCTCTCTATTTATTTCTGAGCTCCCTCCCACTCACCATTTCTGAAAAAGGGTCCTGACCCGAAACGTCAGCTTTCCTGTTCCTCTGATGCTGCCCGGCCTGCTGTATTCCTCCAGCTCCATACTTTGTTATCTCTGACTCCAGCATCTGCAGTTCTTGCTATCAACCTGTGTTTGTATGGTGCTTTGAGTGTAGGAATGACAGTGATGTAGTGGTAATCCAGAGGCCAGACAAATGGCCTGTGGAAATGGGGTTTAGATTTAAAATCAATTAATTGAAGCTCATTTTAGTGACAATCTTTCATTGATTGTTACAAATATCCACATGGCGCACTAGCTTTTGGGAAGGAAATGTAGCAACAATGCCATCTTTACATTGGTTTCTCAATCAAAAACACAACTGATGTAATAACAAATGAGTTATCTCATGTACCCCATGTAAGTTCAACTTGCTGGATACTCTTTATAACATACTCCTCCAGAATCATGTGCGCTCTAAAATATGACCTCCAATCTTGAGCCAAAGTTGGTCTACAGCAGCAGTGAGAAGACCAAGATACTGATAACTGGATGGCAATAAGACCTCCATCACCATCACAATCAGTCATTTCCTCTATCTAGGAGCCAACATCTCCAGGGAGGCTGATGCAATGATCAATGTCCACAGAAGAATTAGTAGAGCTGCATTGATCTTTCAGCAACTCCACTTGGTGTGGATATCCAACACCAGAAAAATGGCCATGAAGCGGTGATTATGTCTACAGCAGTACCAACTGCAATCTGTGACAGCAAGAAATGGAAGATCGCATCAACAGTGTCACATAAGTTGGATGTCTTCCACCAGTGTTGCAAACGTAAGATCCCAGGCATCACTCAGAGAGACATCGCCAGCAGTGAAGAAGCACTACAGAGGAGTGATCAGAGGCCCTCACAGGACACCATGACAGTGAGATAACAAACATCGGGATATGTCATTCACCACCTGGCAATTGAATGGCCACCATCAGATGGGAATAATGATACGGCCAGGCAAACAAGACCTGATACAAGTACACTTAAGCAGCACCTTCCAGAGTGGGATACTACCTGGATTGGAGTGAAAGATATTGTGATGGATTGGGGTAATGACAGAGTCTTGCTGTCCATTGTCCCACGCAATACCAGAGGAATTAAATTTAAATCTAAGTAAGTCCTTCAGATACATGTATCTTGTGGGTTCTGTTGGAATGAAAATTATTACAGCAAGTGATTTTATGTGAAATGGTCATAAGCTGGATATGGCGTGAACTATCAGAAGCCGGGAGAAGCAAAACTTCAACACCACTTCAGACGGGAGGATGTAATTGCAGTGTGGCATGTTTGCATAGGCAGTTTTCATCATTACAGTGGAATTTATATTGAAAACATGTTAGATCGTGTGCACAAGCTTGACATTTTTAGCAGATTATGGAGCATTGTTTTTACCAAGATGTAGTTTTGGTCAATTGGGAAATTTTTAAACAATTTGAACAGATTTAAAATGAACTCTTTTCAATAAATCTGTCCTTGCTCCAACATAGAAAGGGGACCGTGTTTTCACATGTGGAACCATCACTGGTGGATATGCCGAGTATACAGTTGCTTCAGATGATCGAGTTTATCCCTTGCCAGAAAATCTTAGCTACAAGCAAGGATCAGCTATTGGAATTCCTTACTTCACTGCATATCGAGCACTCTTCCACAAGTAAGGCAACCATAAATATACAGTATCATTAAAAATAACCGTTTGGTCCTTTGAGTCAAATCCAGTGATAACAAGGTCATGGTTAATCTATCCCAATCACAACTTTCAGCAATATCCTCAGATCCCTGAATTCACTTAGCATCCAAGAATTTATTGATTTTTGATTTGAATATACTCAGATGACTGAATGACCCAACTCTCTGGAATGGAAAATTCTTATAGTTTACACATCTCTGACTGAAAAAAAACTCTTCTTCACTCAGCCCCAAATGGCTGATCACTTGAAGTCTACTTGCAACTGCTCAAATGCAGCATGACCTGGATGATTTTCCTGAAAAGTGGCAACTAACATTAACCATAAGACCATAAGAAATAGGAACAGGAGTAGCAGTTCAGCTCCTTAAGTCTGCTCCGCCATTCGATAGGATCATGGCTCATTCGGCACACCTCACATCCACTTTCCTGGCCTTTTGCCTAATTCTTGATTCCCCAACTGACTAAGAATCTATCTATCTCAGTCTTAAAAATGCACAAGGACTCTGCCCTGGAGCTCTGTGTAGCAAGAAATTCCAAAGACTCTCAACCCTCTAAGAAAAGAAATTCTTCCTCATGGCAGCCTTAAATTGGCGTCCCTTAGTTCTGAGACTATGCCCTCTTGTCCTCGAATCTTCCATGAGGGTAAACATTCTCTCAATATTTACCTTGTCAAGCCCCTTAAGAATCCTGTACAATGAGATGATCTGTCATTTTTCTAAGTTCTATTGAGGAGAATCCAGGGATCATCCTTGTGAACCTTGTCTGAACTGCATCCAATGAAATGATATCTTTCCTTAAATAAGGGACCAAAATTGGCATGATGCTCCCGACGTGGTCTCAGTAGTATCTTGTACAGTTGCAGTAAGACTTCCCTACTGTTAAACTCCAACCCCCTTGAAATAAGGACCGCTATTCCATGAACCTTCCTGATTACCTGCTGCACCTGTGTGCTAACTTTCTGCATTTCATGCACAAATACCCAAAAGTCCCTTTGTATTGCAAATAACATTTGTGCCACACAAATGCCAGGCAATGACCATCTCCAATGAGAGATAATCTAACCATTGCTCCTTAACATTCAATGGCATTCCCATCATTGAATCCCCCACTATCATCATCCTAGTTACCAGTAAACAGAAACTCAACTGCACTGGCCATATGAATACAGTGGCGACAGGAGTAGGTCAGAGGCTAGAAATATTGCAGTGACTAAGATACCTCCTGACTCCCTAAAGGCCGTTCATCATCTACAAGGACCAAGTCAGGAGTGCGATGGAATACTCCCAGTTGCCTGGATGGGTGTAGCTCCAACAACACTGAAGAAGCCTGACACCATCCAGTACAAAGAAGCCCATTCGATTGGCACCGCATTCACAAACGTCCACTCCCTCCATGATCGATACTCAGTAGCAGCAGTGTATAACATTTACAAGGTGCACTGGAGAAATTCACCAAAGCTCCTTAGATAGCATTTTGCAAACCCACAACCACTTCCATCTAGAAGGACAAGGGCAGTAGATACATAGAAACACCACCACGTGCAAATTCCCTTCCAATCCATTTGCCATCCTGACTTGGAAATATATCATAGAATCATGGAGTCATACAGCACAGAAACAGACCCTTCAGTCCAATCAGTCCATGCCAAACAAAATCCCAAACTAAACTAACCCACCTGCTTGCTCCTGGCTCATATCCTTCCAAAACTTTCTTATTCGTGTACTTATCCAAATGCCTTTTAACCATTGTAACTGTACCTGTATCCACCACTTCCTCAGGAAGTTCATTCCACACACAAACCACTCTCTGTGTAAAAAAAGAATTGCCCCGCATGTCCTTTTTAAATCTTTCTCTCACCTTAAAAATATAACCATTGGTTTTGAACTCTCCCACCTTAGGGAAAAGACCCTTGTCATTCACCTTATCTAGCCTCTCATTATGTTATAAACCTCAGTAAGGTCACCCTCAACCTTCTACGCTCAAGTGGAAAAAGTCCCAGTCTTTCCAGTCTACTTTTATATCTCAAACCCTCCATTCCTAGCACATCCTTTCTTTCAGGTAATTAAAAGCAGTTCAGATGATGGAGCACACTAATTAATGTTGATAATTATGAAATATTTTGCTTGTAAATAATTCAGATTAAGCCCTTCTGTAATCAGCCAGAAATTCACAATCACACTGTATGGTGTGGTCAGGCTTACTGTACCTTGTAAATGGAACTTCACATTCTGTAGTCAAGAAGATGTATTCCGTTTTCACTTTTGATTATCTCTGGGTTTTATTAGTTATTTTATATTTGATGAAATAAAGTGAACAGAGAGGAATTGACAAGGATTTGTCCAGGCAAGAAATCTTGTAATGATTCAGAACATGGGAACCAGAAGACAGCATTCAGCCTTTTGAGACTCTTGCCTCATTAGGTTCGATCATGGTTGATCTGTATCTTATTGTCATTTATTCGACTTGATTCTGCAACCGTTAGTAGCTCGGCTGAATAAAAATGATTAATTTCAGTTTTGAAAATTTCAATTGGTGCCCAACCGCAAAGGTTTTTGGAGGGAGAGAAGTGTGAAGTGCTTCCTGATATAGCCCCTGAACAATGGTCTGGCTCTAATTTTAAGACTCTGTTGCCTTGTTTTGGATTCTCCCACCAGAGGAAATGGAGAGAAACTGTCTGCCCTATTGTATCCTTTAATTGTCCTAGACATCTCAATTCGATAAGCCCTTCATTTTCTGTGCTGGAAGGAATATGAGTCTAAACTGTGTGGATTTCCACTCTTGCTGAGTTGGATTTGCTGCCCAATCTCTATTGTTTTGACAGAAGTCACCTCAGAGGGAATGGCACTGCTGGCATCCAAATATTGACCAGTCACCAGCTTTGGTTTCAGTTTTGGATGCAGACCAAACGGATATTCTCTCATTGGAACTCCTTTCTCTTTCAGAGCCCATGTGAAGGCTGCAGAAACTGTTTTAATTCATGGAGCAAGTGGAGGGGTAAGCTGCATCACTGCTTACCCAAACCGGATTTTCCTAAATGCTTGGAACTTTAAACCAAATCATATTTTTCAGGACTGCCAAAGCTCTCTCTCACAATGTCTATGCTGCACGGCAATTTTTTCCGTAAGCTCAGGCTGCCCTGGACCTTCTAAGCAAATTGCAATTCCCTGCTTTGACTCACTCAATTCCAAGCTCCTTCGTCCAGGTCTTCTGATCTCCAGGTAGTTGGAGATTGGGCATACTCTGGAAAATGCACATCTGAATCCCCAAGACCATCAACCCTTCTGGACTCACCCCAGCAGCTTTTCCTTCCACCCCCCAAACTGCCAACAACTGTTCTGCCATCCTTTACCCCACACATCTACCTACCACTTTACCCCTTCTCCTATGTGTTACCCAACCCTACGCCACCCAACTTTCAACTTACCCCTTTCTCAACTTACCTTACAGGCTTACCTTCTCTAAGCTTCTGTTAAAGTGCTTTCAAGACCTATAAACTTGGAGTATGACAGCTGGTGTGGTAACAAGGGGGTGAGGGGGTTCTAACAGGCTGACTATATGGATTCTTGGCCTACACTGTTTCAACTGGGAAAGCTCCTAGTCTGGAGGTTCTCTGAGAGAATCCCTCCAAAGATGAATGTGTATATTTTTGTCCAGCAAGGTAAGAAATAGCATTTCTATGTTGATACATATGTAGGGTCTGTCTCTTTGACCTCCTCTTGCTCCTTCCCCGAGGCCCTCCTAGAACAAAGAACAATACAACACAGGAATAGGCCCTTCAACCCTCCAAGCCAGCACCGACTCATTTTGCCCTTCCATACTAAAATTGTCTTCACTTACAGGATTCATATCCCTCTATTCCTTTCCTATTCATGCCCTTGTCCAGGTGCTCCTTGAATGCTGTTATTGTGTCTGCTTCCACCACGTCCTCTGGCAGCGCATTCCAGGCACTCACCACCTTTTATGTGAGAAATGTGCCTCTCACATCTCTTTTAAATTTCCCCCCTTGCACCTTGAACCTGTGTCCCCTAGTAATTGACCCCTCCACCCTGGGAAAAAGCCTCATACTTTCCACTCTATCCATGCCATTCACAATCTTATAAACTTCTATCAGATTGCCTCTCAACCTCCTGCGTTCCAGTGAAAACAAATGACCCGAAACGTCAACTTTCCTCCTCCTCTGCTGCTGCCTGACCTGTGTGTTCTTCCAGCTCCACCCTGTGTTGTCTCAGTCTATCCAACCTTTCTTCATAACTAAAATCCCCCATACCAGGCAACATCCTGGTAAACCTTTTCTGTACCCTCTCCAATGCACCCACATCCTTCTGGTAGTGTCGTGATCAGAACTGTACTCAATATTCCAAGTATGGCCTAACTAAAGTGCTAAAAGCTGCAGCATAACTTGTCTACCCTTATACTCACTGCCCCTTCTAATGAAGGCAAGCATGCCATAGGCCTTTTTTACTACCTTATTTACCTGCGCTGTCACCTTCAGTGATCTGTGGACCTACACACACAGATCTCACTGCATATCAATACTCCTGAGGATTCTGCCATTCACTGTATAATCTCCACCTGTACTTGACGTTCCAAAATGCAACATCTCACATTTGTCTGGATTAAACTCCATCTGCAATTTTCCTGCCCATGCCTCCAACTGATCTTTATCCTGCTGTATCCTCTGACAGTCCTCTTCACTATGCGCAACTCCACCAATCCTTGCATTGTCCATAAACTTATTAATTTGACCAACTATATTTTCCTCCACACATACATATCCCCCTCCCTTTTTTCTGTGTATAAACTGACGTTTTCCCAGCCACCATCAGTTCTGAGGAAGGGTCACCGGACCCGAAACGTTAATTCTGTTTTTTCCTTCACAGATGCTGCCAGAACTGCTGAGTTTTTACAGCAACTTTGTTTTTACTCCTGATTTACAGCGTCCACAGTTCTTTCGGTTTTTGTTTACATTTTCCTCCAAATCGTTTATGGCGATTATGAACAGCAGACATCCCGGCATGGTTACCTGTGAAACACCACTAGTCCCCGCCCTCCATCTGAAAAGCATTCTTCCACTGCTACCCTCTGTCTCCTATGAGTAAGCCAGTTCTGTATCCTGTGGTTGGTTCGCTCACTGAGCTGATTCGTTAGTTCGCAGATGTTTCATTACCCTGATGGGTAACATCATCAGTGCAGCCTCCGATGAAGTGCTGTTGTGTTTTCCCGCCTGATATTTAAACTCTGTTGGAATTGGTTACCTCACTTCCGGTTTTTCTGTGCAGTGCCGTGTATATAGGGTCTAATTCTACATGTTTGTTGATGGCCTTCTTGGTAGACAACCAAGCCTCTAGAAATTGCCGTGCTTGTCTCTGTTTGGCCTGTCCTAGGATCCTGATGTTGTCCCAATCGAACTGGTCGTTCTCCTTATCCATGTGAATGGAGACGAGTGAGTACTGGTCATGTCTTTTTGTTGCTAATTGGTGTTCATGTATTCTTGTGGCCTGTTTCCTTCCCGTCTGTCCAATGTAATGTTTGTTTGCAGTCTTTGCATGGAATCTTGTATATCACGTTGGTTCTGTCCATGGTGGGCAAGGGGCTTTTGGTTCGAGTTAGCAATTGGTGTAGGGTTGACGTAGGTTTGTGTGCAACTCTAATGCCCAAAGGTTGTAGGAATCTTGTGGTCAGTTTGGATGTGTTCTTGATGTATGGTAACTTGATGAGTGTGTCAGGGCATACTGTATCTACCTGTGAAGATTCACAAACCCACATCAACCCTATGCTAACTGCTAACTCGAACCAACTTGCCCACCCTGGACAGAACCAACGTGATATACAAGATTCCATGCAAAGACTGCGCCAAACATTACATTAGACAGACAGGAAGGAAACTGGCCACAAGGATACATGAACACCAATTAGCAACAAAAAGACACGACCAATACTCACTCGTCTCCATTCATATGGATAAAGAGAATGACCAGTTCAATTGGGACAACATCAGGATCCTAGGACAGGCCAAATAGAGACAAGCACAGGAATTCCTAGAGGGTTGGTTCTCTAGCAAGAAGTCCATCAATAAATACATAGAATTAGACCCTATATATACAGCACTGCGCAGAAAAACCGGAAATGAGGTACCCAATTCCAACAGACCCCAGAATTTAAATACCAGGCGGGAAAAAGCAACAGTGCTTCATCGGAGGCTGCACTGATGATATTTCCCAGCAGAGTAATGAAACGTCTGGAAACTAACGAACCAGCTCGGTGAACCAACCAACCACAGCATTTACAACCTGAGCTACAAATCTACTCAAGAACCTCAGTTCTGTATCCATCTTGCCAGCTTACCCCGATACTATGTGACTTCACCTTTTGTACCAGTCTGCTATGAGGGACCTTGTGAAAGGCTTTAATGAAGTCCATGTAGACAAAAACAACTGATTTTCCCTCATCAACCATCTTTGTCACCTCCTGTATCCTAATGATTTTTCTGAGAGATAAAGCTCCAGACACTACATAGTGGGGGACTAGTCCATAGACTTGTGCAATTCTTCTATATGTCTATGTAGTTGGAAGAGGAAAGCTCAAAAATGACCCAAACTTTGTACTTTACAAACTCAGATGAAAAAATATTTCAAGTCACATAATGTTGTTGCACAGAGGCCATTTAGCTTGTTGTGTCTGTGATACTTCTTTGCTATTTATCTTTCTGCATTGCTTTTCACTTAAAGCCCTCCATCTTCCTGAATTCAAAATACCTTCCCTGAATTGTTGTCTGTGTCTCAAACTCTTCCTGTGGAAAAGCAGCCCATGTTCCAACCTAATTCATATGACCTCTCATCCTGTCTCCTTAATATTTATGGCAATGTTTCAATCGATGTTTCATTTGTAACTCCTGAACCAGAGGGCTTATTCTTTCTCTCCTCAACCCAGGCAAATCCTTCCCTTTTTTTTGATAAAACCCATGAGGTAAAGTATGGGCTGGGAATCCAGAGGCCAGGGCTAATCATGCAGAGACATGAGTTCAGATTTCATCCTGACAGCTGAAGAATGTAAATCCTGTTAATCAAATACATTCGGAATACACAGTTAGTCTCAGTAATGGTGACATGAAATGACTGATTGTTGGAAAAAACTTATCTGTTTCACACGTGCCCTTTAAGGAAGAAAAAAATTGCTGCCCTTATTTGTCCTGACCTGTCCATGACTGCAGACCTGCAGCAAAATAGTTCATTTTTAACTACCTTCTGAAGTGCTGAGCAAGCCACTCAGGTGTATCAAACAGCTACACTTGAAGAAATTCAAGAAGACTGCTCACCACCATCTTTTCAAAGGCAATTTAGGATAGGAAATAAATGGTAGTCTTGCCAGCAACTCCTACAACCCATGAATGATTTAAAAAAGAAATAGTTGAGTCGATCTATTGCAGTATTTTATTGTAATTGTAATTTCCCAATCCTACTATTATAAACATGTTAGAATCATAAACTACAAGAATAAACCATTCATACCATTCTGCAGTGACAACTCTTTGAAAGAGCTACCAATTATCTTGGATTTTTAATTGCATGAGTCCATGGTTAAAATCACCCTATGTGATGTTCTATTAAATTCCTCCATTATTTTTTCTGATAATGCTGATGAGTCACTTTCTCTAAATCATTTTGCCAATCCCATTGGTTTATTAATATCGCGTAATACAGTCTTGGTGCTCCTTTCCCTGGTTCAAATGTGCATGCACTAAAACAACCTCAATTTGAAATCAGAAATGCAGTCAGGAGGTAAATAGTGGAATTTCTGTGCATGCTTCCTTACAGCGATTAGAGAATGGAGGTATTGTGTTTGGCTGGAATGAGTTGGCTCATGAAATTGAGAAGCTGCTTCCATGAAAAGTAGTGCATAATTGTTATGCTGAATTTCAGGTTGGGATAGCAGCCTGCCAGATTGCCAGAGCCTATGGCCTGAAGGTTCTCGGGACAGCTGGGACTCAGGAAGGACTCAGTCTGGTTCAAAAGAATGGAGCTCACAAGACTTTCAACCACAGGGAGACTGGCTACATTGATAAGATCAAGGTACAGATCCAACACTTCAAAATCTCCATTGGTCATGCATTTCATAGTATTTAATTTCCTAAGACTTCACAGTTTCCATATGATAAAAGTGAGCAGAGTGAATAAAGAATCAGTGTTGCTAGCTTTCGTGTCAGCCTTAATTCTGTCTCCGAGCACTCAGGATTAGAAGGATGGTGTTGCTCACATCTTTGATCCTGTCTGTAGCATTGCAAGCAATCAAACTGTTTAAAAAGAAAGAGCTTGCGTTTATACAGCTCATTTCATACCTCAAGACATCCAAAAATGCTTTACAGTTACTGTTTGAAATGTAATTACAGTTAGAGTAAAGAGAAATGCAACAGCCAATTTACGCACAGCTAGTTTCCATAAACGGTGGACAGATAATCTATTTCAGTGATTTTAATTCAGAAATAAATTTTGGCCCAAGGACATTGGGGAGAGCTCCATATTTAGAACGTAGAACATAGAACTGTACAGCACAGGAGCGGGCCTTTTGGCCTACTATGGTGTGCCAAACATGACGCCAAATGAAACTGATCCCGTCTGCATGCCCTTGGTCCATATCCCCTCATTCCTTGCATATTCATGTGCTTATCTAAAAGTCTACTAAACGCTCCTATTGTATTCGCCTCCACCACCACCGCTGGCAGTGCGTTCCAGACTCCTACGACTCACTGTGTAAAAAAGTTTGCCCCTCATGTCTCCTTTGAACTTTCCCCTTCTAATATTAAATGCATGGCCTCTAGTATTAGACATTTCAATTCTGGGAAAAAGATTCTGACTGTCAACTCTATCTGTGCATCTCATAATTTTACAGACTGCTGTCAAGTCTCCCCTGAGCCTCTGCGGCTCAAGAGAAAACAATCTGTGTTTTTCTGTGCGTCTCCTTATAGCTCATACCCTCTAAAATCAGGTGGCATCCTGTAAACCTCTTCTGCACCCTCTCCAAAGTGTCCACATCCTTCTTGTAATGTGATGAGCAGAACTGAACATAGTACTCTAAGTGTGGCCTAACCAAAGTTTTATAAAGCTGCAACATGACATCCTGACTCTTGCACTCAATTCCCTGACCAATAAAGGCAAGCATGCCATACGCCATTGTTACCTCCCTATGTATTTGCCTGGCCACTTTCAGGGAGTTATGAACTTGAACCCCAAGATCCCTCTGGACATCAATGCTGTTCAGGGTCCTGCCATTAAGTGTATACTTTTCCTTAACATTTGATCTGCCAAAATGCAGCACCTCGTAGGAGATGTAGGAGCGTTTTTCCTGACCCAGGATCAAAAACTCAGGAGGCAGGCAGGATTCAAGCTAGTGGAAGATGTTTATTCAAGCAGAAACCGGTTTGTGCAGGAGAGGGCCAAAGGATCTTCCCCGAATCTGGCTTCGGAAAATAGATCAATGACACACCCTCTGCTTTTACAAAGAAATACAGCATTTTTATACATTTTGTGTTACAGTAATCAAATACAACGTAGTCTTCGTCCTTCCCCTTAATTCAAACACCCAATCCTAATCGGTGATGGGCACTTCAATGGACAGCCCCAGGTTCCCATGATTTTAGCTAGACATTGTAATTTCTAGGCCTTGGGATCTTCCCATGTATCCTGTTCATTCACATTCCACATATTTAATGGCTATACTCCTTCGGATCTTTCTCAGGCTTGTTTATCTGTAAGGACAGCTCAAATTCTATTACTATTGTATTTTGGAGCTGACTTTTGTCACCTTCAGTTACTTGTTTTATTTTCCCACTGTCCCAATTACATAATGCAAAAATAAAAAGTAAGTTAGTTTTAACTAATTGCTGTAAGGTTAACTTCTGTTCTAAAGTTAATTATAAGTGTAATATTGTACAACTACTTCTACTGTCAGTGTTTTGTTGTTTATGGGTTGCAATCAATCTGTCTTGTTCAGGGCATAAGTGAAGGTGTCTTCTAAGGCTAGTTAATCTTTACATCTAAGCTTACATCTTTTTTAAGGCTTGTGTTATATCCTGGTTATGTATTGAAACCAAATTCCATAATTGGTGCATTTTTAGCTAGAAACTATTTAATATTGCTGGTAGCTTCAAAGAGGCAACTATTTATGATGAAATAACTTTAGCTGTTATCCTTGCAGCTGCTTGAGGACTTAATCTAACACCTGACATTATTCATTTACCAGGACAATCATCCTTTCATTAATAAAGCTTGGTCATTTATTTGTCCTAAGGCATCCTTTTATCAGAACTGTCTCGGATGGGAACATACAGTGTTATTTTACTGACCTTCTAGCAGTTCTGTTCAAAGTTACCATTGTATTTCACTATGTGAGCAGACTGCTTTGTTTTGCTTGGCTTCTATCTGCCATCTTGTAAGCAGGCATGGGCCGCTTAATGTATTCAGGTACAAGTCACCTTACATAGTCAGGTACAGATCACCTGTACAGCCCCCACTATCAACATACTTTGGAGTTGGCATTGACCAGAAATTAAACTGGACTATCCATATAAATACAGCGGCTACAAGGGCATGTCAGAGGTTAGGAATCCTGCAGTGAGTAACTGACCTTCTGACTCCCCAGAGCCTGCCCACCATCTACAAGGCACAATCAGGAGTGTGATGGAATACTCCACACTTGCTTAGATGGGTGCAGCTCCCACAATATTCAAGAAGCTTTACACCAACAAAAACAGAAGTTGTTGGAAAAGCTCAGCAGGTTTGGCAGCATCTGTGAAGAGAAGTCACAGTTAACATTTCAGTCCTGTGACCCTTCCTCAGAACTTGACACCATCTAGGACAAAGCAGCCCGCTTGATTGGCACCACATTCATAAGCATCCACTCCCTCCACACTGCTGCTCAGTAGCAGCAATATGTATTACTTACAAGATGCACTGGGCAGCAAGGGCAGCAGACATATGGAAACACCACCACCTGCAAGTTCCCCTCCAAGCCAGTCACTATTATGACTTGGAAATATATTGCTGTTCCTTGGGGCACTAGGTCGAAATGCTAGAATTCCCACTGTAATGGCATTGTGGGTCGACCTAGAACACATGGACGGCAGCGGTTCAAGAAGGCAGCTCACCACCACCTTCTCAACGGTCAACTGGGGAAGAGCAATAAATGCTGGCCAGGCAGCAATACCCAAGTCTCATGAGTGAATTAAAAAATAGTTCAATGGAGTCATATAGTCATAAAGATTTATAGCACGGAAACAGACCCTTCGGTCCAACTCGTCCGTGCCGACCAGATTTCCTAAATAAATCTAGTCCCATTTGCCAGCATATGGCCTATATCCCTCTAATCCAATCCTACTCATATACCCATCCAGATGCCTTTTAAATGTTGTAATTATACCAGCCTCCACCACTTCGTCTGGCAGCTCATTCCTTACACGCACCACCCTCTGTGTGAAAATGTTGTCCCTTAGATCTCTTTTAAATCTTTCACCTCTCACCTTAAACCTATGCCCTGAAGTTTTGCACTCCCCCACCCCAGGGAAAAGACCTTGTCTATTTACTCTGTCCATGCCCCTCATGATTTTATAAACCTCTATAAGATCACCCCCTAGTCTTCGATGCTCCAGGAAAAATAGTCCCAATCTATTCAGCCTCTCCCTATAACTCAAACTGTCCAAACCCTGGTAACCCTCCAATCTTTTGGCGTTTTCTCCAGATAAGTTTGGGAGGAACTAGAAGTCAATAATATTGGATGAAAGAAGCTATGTCAGAATAATTACTTTCAGTTGGAACAGTGATGGGCTATAAGACCCTTTATTGCTGTTGAATTTCCCATGCTTGTTAATATTATTTGTCTTACCCCTCTCATTTCTGTCTCTTGAGCTCTTCACTACTGTCACAATCATACTTCACCAAAAAACAAATTCTATTCTCTTTAAAACTACCTTTTAGCATCCAAACTTCCTTTCCTCTCATAGCCTCCCGAGCAATACATTGTGATCAACTAATCAGCAGTGGTGGACTACATTTGTGCAGCACACACCATCACGAGTGACTGAAAAGATGGACTATGACCATAGAGCTGTTCACTGTGAATGATCTTCCACACAAGGTTTAGGTCAAACAGACTGAGCTTCTTTGTTGTTTTGTTTGCCCTTCCTATTCAAATATTTGTTGCTGTTTCAAATCAGTGAAGTTCACTATTAAGCCAAGTCGTAACATTATATGGATTGAAGTTCGACTGCACAGACTTGAGTGTAAAATCTAGGTTGATGTCCTAGAGCAATATTGTGGCAGTGGTGCACACTAAGACATGCTGTCTTTCAGATGTTTCGGGTGAGGTTCTGTTAGCTCACTCATGTAGTTATAAACTATCCCCGGCACTATTTTGAAGAAGAACAGGGGAATTATCACCAATATTTATCCAGCAGCCAACGTCACTAAAACAGTTTTACTGAGAGATCATTACTGTCTCGTGGGATCTCTGTGCAGAATTGATTATCATATTTCCTACATTATAATAGTCACTGCATTTCAGAAAGAATATATTGGCTGAAAAGTGCTTTGGGACTCACTGAGGTGTGAAAGGCTCTGCAGTTCTACAAATTTGTTTTCTCTTACCACCATTACAGTTGTTTATTCAATTGTAATTTTTGTTCTGCTAAATTGACCAGGTAGTTTATTGATCTAATTGAATTGTACGTAAGAACGGAGAGAGTCGCACCAAAAATAAATCAGATCTAGATCAGTTGGCTTTTATGTATCTAATTCTTAACCTCACTCTCTCTGTTAAGGATTACACTGATGGTCAAGGAGTGGATGTGATCATTGAAATGTTGTCCAATGTGAATCTGAGCAATGATCTACAACTGCTTGCAACTGGTGGGCGAGTGACTGTAAGTACCACATCCTTCAACATTGCAACAGGAGTATGCCATTCAGTCCAATTCGTATTCCAATACAATTCATGCTACATATAACCACCTCTCTTCATCTAATGTACTGTTTGGTTAGATCATAGCTGATCTTAACTGCATTACCAGTATTGGTTCGTAACTCTCTTTCATAACCAACAAAAATCTGCAGATCTCCATTTTAAAAGCTCCGTTGATATTGAATTTCAACGTATTTTTGAGGGAGTATTCCAGATTTCCATGAATCCTTTGTGTGTAGAAGTGCATCCTGACATTATCTCTCAACTGCCTAGGTCTGATTTTAATGTCACATCTCCTTGTTGTAAATTCCCTTCACCAAGTTTCTTTCAGAAAATCCTGGAAACATTCAAAAGGTTAACAGTGTCTGTGGAGAGAGAAATACAATTAATATTTCAGATTGTCAAAACCAAAAAAGATAAGAAATATAACAATTTTAAAGCAAGTGCAGACACAGGGAAAGGGGCGAAAGTAAAGAACAAGACAAAATGTGTTTAACTAACTTCATTTCCATTTTTGATGAGGTAACAAAGAGAGTTGATGAGGATAATATGGTCTGTATAGCTTTGCAAAAAACATTTGATAAAATGGTGCATGGTAGCCTTGCCAGGAATGCTGACGGCCATGGAAAAAACAGACAGAGGTAGCCTGGATATGAAGTTCGCTTGAGTGACAGGAAACATGGAATCATAGAATCCCTGTATTGTGGAAGCAGGCTATTTGACCCATCAGGTCTAAACCGACCCTCTGAAGAGCATCCCACCCAGATCCACCCGCTACCCTATTCCCTGTAGCTAATCCACCTAGCTTGAACATCCCAGGACATCATGGGCAATTTAGCACAGCCAGTCCACCTTATCTGCACATGTTTGGACTGTGAGAAAAAACTGGAGCACATGGAGGAAACCCACACAGACATGGGGAGAATGGAGAAAACTTTGACCAAGATCTTTGCATCCTTATTAGCCACTGGGGAGGTCCTGGACGACTGGCGAGTAGCTAATGTTATTCTTCTATTCAAGAAGGGAAATAGGGATAATCCAGGAAACTACAGATCAGTGAGTCTCACATTGGTGGTTGGGAGCTATTGGAGAAAATTCTTATGGATAGGATTTACATGCAATTGGAAAAGCATGGCCAACTTAGGGACAGTCAGCATGGCTTTGTGCAGGGCAGGTCGTGTCTTCCTAACTTGATTAAATGTTTTGAGGAGGTGACAAAGGTGATTGACGACAGTAGAACAGTGGATGTTGTTTACATGGATTTTAGTAAGGCTTTCAAGAAGGACTGTCATGGTAGGCTCAACTAGAAGAATAAGATGCATGGGATCCATGATGGCTTGGCTGCATGGATTCAGAATCGGCTTGCCCCGAGTAGATGGAGGGTAGTGGTGGAAGGTTGTTTCTCAGTCTGGATGTCTGTGACTAGTGGTGTTCCGCAAGAATCCAAACTGGGACCTCTACTGTTTGTGATATATATATAAATGACTTGGATGAAAATGTAGATGGCTGGGATTAGTAAATTTGCAGATAATACAAAGATCAGCGGAGTTGTGGATAGTGTAGAATGTTTCAGATTACAGCAGATATAGATCAGTTGCAGATACGAGCAGAGAAATGGTAGATGGAGTTTAATCCTTATAAGTGTGAGATGCTGCATTTTGGGAGATCAAATGTTAAGGAAAAATATACAGTTAATGGCAGGACCCTAAACAGCATTGATGTCAGAGGGATCTTGGGGTTCAAGTTCATAACTCCCTGAAAGTGGCCACGCAAGTACATAGGGTGGTAGTGAAGGCGTATGGCATGCTTGCCTTTATTGGTCAGGGAATTGAGTGCAAGAGTCAGGATGTCATGTTGCAGCTTTATAAGACTTTGGTTAGGCCACACTTGGGGTACTATGTTCAATTCTGCACGCCACATTATAGGAAGGATGTGGATGCTTTGGAGAGAGTGCAGAAGAGGTTTACCAGGATGCTGCCTGGATTAGAGGGTATGAGCTGTAAGGAGAGGTTGGAAAAGCTCGGGTTGTTTTCTCTTGAGCAGCGGAGAATGAGGGGTAGAAGCCTATAAAATTATGAGATGCACAGATAGGAGTGACAGTCAGAATTTTTTTCCCAGACATGAAATGTCTAATACTAGGGGGCATGCATTTAATTTGAGAGGAGGAAAGTTCAAAGGAGATGTGAGGGGCAAATTTTTTACACACAGAGTGGTAGAAGTGTGGCACATGCTGTCAGGGGTTGGTGGTGGAGGCAGATACAATATAGGCATTTAAAAGACTTTTAGGTAAGCACATGAATATGCAAGGAATGGAGGGATATGGACCAAGGGCAGGTAGGTGGAATTAGGGCATCATGTTTGGCACAACATCGTGGGCAAAGGGGTCCATTCCTGTGCTGTACAGTTCTATGTTCTAATGTGGAAACTCCACATAGACAGTCACCTGAGGCTGGAATCAAACCCAGGTCCCTGGCACAGTGAGGCAGCAGCACTAACCACTGAGCTATTCTGTTGCCCTTGGTTGTTTCTCAGACTGGAGGAAAGTATAAATTATGGTTCTTGCCCTGATTAGGTTTGTACAGCAATGGTTGTGCTTCTAACTCAAGATTAAATTGTTGTAAGAGGCTGTTGTGGCACTGTGGTAGTCCCTACCCCTGGGCCAGCAGCTCGAGATTCAAGTTCCACCTGCTTCAGACGTCTGTCATAACTTGTCTGAACAAGGTGATAAGAAAAATGTATGCTACAGTTATTTGGGGAACAGTAATAGGGCCACTGCTTTTCTTTATCAATGTTAATTGATCCACTTTTGGGTAACCAAGGTGGAAGTTTAAAATTTGTAGTTGATGCAAAACTTAGAAATATTGTCAACTGTGACAAAGATAGTCACATAACCACAGAAGCTGTACCAGCTCTTCAAATCTGTGTCATTACCTTGTGACAACTTTCTGTTTTTTTCCCCATAGCCTGTCACATCACTTTTATCAAATAATTGTCCAATGCCTTCTTGAATTGAACCTGCCTAGCAGTGTTGAGCCTGGAATGTTATAAAGTGCCTTACTTGTATGTGCGGTGTTCTTCTTCAAGTTTAGACTGAGTTTTTTTGGTCTTACAAGAAGCCAAGGACAGGTGGGTCAGTGTAGAAATGGAGCAAGGAACTGAAATGAAAGACACCTGGAAGCTTGTTAAACTTCTGTCTTACTCTCCATAGATTCTGCCTGTTCTGCTGAGTATTTCCATCACTTTCTGATTTTATTTCTGATTTGTAGCATCCACAATATTTTGTTTTTGAAACAGGTTAGATAAAAGAAAACTATCCAATCTTTTTAATCAACTTGAACACCTTAATTACTTAAGGAAATACAGGCCTTTTCTTTCCAACCTGTTCCTCATAGATTTAACCTTTTTAATGCAGTATAATCATGATGTATCTGTGCGTTACCTTCTCCAAGGCCAAAATAGTCTTCCTGAGGTGCAGTGCTCAGACCTGAACACTGCTATCATTAAAATAGTGTGATTGACACTTGGAACTGCTTTAATTTTACAGATTGTAGGCTGCAGAGGTAGCATTGAGATAAACCCCAGGGATATCATGCCTAAGGAGTCCAGCATCATTGGGGTTGCATTCGGTACAATAACTGAGGTAAGAAGAGCACTTTTCAAATGCTTGCTTTACAAACCAGAGGGTACAGTTAATGCACATATACATAAAGCACCTGTACCTCATTTTTCTCTGTTTTGTCTTCATGTTCGGTTAACTAAACAGTTAATACAATAATCAAAATGCCAGATAGGAATTTACTACAAGAATGCCAATGTATAAGAACAGTAATAAATAGAAATTTTGCTTTCTACTTTGAGTTTAAACACACTCACAGACACTTGTCCTTGCTAAGTTTGTAGCTTTAGACATTCTCCTCTCCCTACAACCAGAAGCACATCCCAGGCTTATACTAAATGTATTACTTATCTTTGTGCTTGCTGACTTCCTTTGGTTCCTAGCTTAAAATAACTCAAGACTTTGGAGTAGATTTGTAGCTCGGGTTGTGGATGTTGTGGTTGGTTGGCTCGCCAAACTGGTTTGTTGTTCTGCAGATGTTTCATTACCCTGCTCGGTAACATCATCAGTGCAGCCTCTGATGAAGCGCCGGTGAGTTTTCCTGACTGGCTTTTAAACTCTGGGGTCCGTTGAGCTGGATTGCCTCACTTCCGGTTTTCTTTCGTAGTGGAGTGTTCTATGGGGTCGAGTTCTATGTGTTTATTGATGGCTTTCTTCATGGAGTACCAGGCTTCTAGGAATTCCTGTGCCTGTCTCTGCTTGGCTTGTCCCAGGATTTTGGTGTTGTCCCAGTCGAATTGGTGGTTCTCCTTATTCATGTGGATAGAGATGAGTGAGTATTGGTCGTGTCTTTTTGTAGCCAGTTGGTGTTCGTGTACCCTTGTTGTTAGTTTCCTTTCTGTTTGTCTGATGTGGTGTTTCTCACAGTCTCTGCAAGGAATCTTATAATGACATTGGTCCTGTCCATAGTGGGGAGTGGGTTTTTGGTTCGGGTGAGCAGTTGTCGTAGGGTTGATTTGGGTTTGTGTGCCACTCTGATGCCCAGTGGTCATAGGAGTCTTGTGGTTAGTTCCGATGTGTTCCTGATGTAAGGTAGTGTGATAAGTGTGTCGGGGCATGTAGTTTCTTCCTGATGTTGTTCGTGTAGGCATCTTCTGACCCAGTTTTTTGGATATCCATTATCTTTGAAAACCTGGAAGAGGTATTCTTCTTCCTCTTGGTGTAGTTCTGTGTTGCTGCAGTGTGTTGTTGCCCATTTAAATAGTGTTCACACGCAGCTTCGTTTGTGTGTGTTAGGATGGTTACTGTTGAAGTTCAGTGCCTGGTCTGTGTGTGTGGCTTTTCTGTGTACTTTCATTTGGAGTTCCCCATTTGTCTTGCACTCTACCATGACGTCCAGGAATGGGAGCTGTTTGTTCTTTTCCACCTCTCTGGCGAATTTTATTCCGGTGAGGGTGTTGTGTATTAGTTTGTGTGTCTCCTCTAGTTTGGTCTGTTTAATGATTCATCACACTACTTTACATCAGGAACACATCGGAACAAACCACAAGACTCCAGCGACCGCTGGGCATCAGAGTGGCACACAAACCCACATCAACCCAACGACAACTGCTCACCCGAACCAAAGACCCACTCCCCACTATGGACAGGACCAATGTCATCTATAAGATTCCTTTCAGAGACTGTGAGAAACACTACATTGGACAAACAGAAAGGAAACTAACAACAAGGATACACGAACACCAACTGGCTACAAAAAGACACGACCAATACTCACTCAACTCTATCCACATGAATAAGGAGAACCACCAATTCGACTGGGACAACACCCAAATCCTGGGACAAGCTAAGCAGAGACAGGCACGGGAATTCCTAGAAGCCTGGTCCTCCACGAAGAAAGCCATCAATAAACACATAGAACTCGATCCCATATACGCTCCACTACGAAGGAAAACCGGAAGTGAGGCAATCCAGCTCAACGGACTCCAGAGTTTAAAAACCAGGTGGGAAAACACACCGGCGCTTCATCAGAGGCTGCACTGATGATGTTACCCAGCAGGGTAATGAAACTTTCAAATTGTGGGACAGCCATAGCTCATTGGTCAGTACTTGGGCACAAGTTTCACTCCAAGCATTGAGAACAAAAATCTAGCGCAGCACTGCAATATAGCACTGGAAGATTGCTACACTGTTGGAGGTACTGTCTTTAGGTGAGATGATAATCTGAGCCCTCATCTGATTTCAGGCAGGCACAAAAGATCCCGTATGGACTATTTTAATAAAAAGCAAAGGCGTTGTGTCCTGTCCATTATTCATCCCTCAGTTAACACCACAAAAACAGATTACTTGATTGTTCTAACATTATTATTTGAGTGCGTTTTGCATATGCACATAAGTTGCCTTGCTTCCAATACAGCTATCCTACGTTTGGAACTCCTAATATGTGTCTGCAACAAGACATGCTAAATGAAAAGCACTTTCCCACAAGAAAGCGCGTAATGAATGTGGGTTAAATTCCTGACTGAGAAACATTTATATTAAAAGCCTGTGTTTCCTTTGAAAATAACAGGCACAAAAATCTTCTTACAAACTTTTAATAACTTGCTAACTCTTCTTGCTTACCTCCTAGCCACTGCTCTCCATTCACTAACCCTCCTCTCACTCCTTCCGTCTCTTGATCTTTCTGCTCACTCCCTCCCTTGACCTCCCATAATGAGCAGCAAGTAGGAAGCATTGAAGTTCAGAGAGTGTAGTGGGAGGCAGGGAGGGATCAGGAAAGGGAAATGGGAAGCAGTGAGGGTTCGGGAGAAGGAAGTGGGAAGCATTAACGGATCAGGAAAAGGAAGGAGAGATCAGGAAAGGGGAGTGGGAAGCACTGAGGGATCAGGAAAAGGAAGTGGGAAGCATTGAGAGATCTGGAAAGGGAAGTGGGAAGCATTGAGGGATCAGGAAAAGGAAGTGGGAAGCAGTGAGAGATCAGGAAAGGGAAGTGAGAAGCAGTGGGGAATTGGGAAATGGGAAACACTGAGGGTTCAGGAAACAGAAGTGGGAAGCAGTGAGGGATCTGAAGAAGGAAGTGGGAGGCAGTGAGTTGTGGGTAAAGGGAAGTGGAAAACAATGAGGGGAGTGGGTCTGGGTGGGATGCTGTTCAGAGGGTCGGTGCATATTTGGTGGGCTGAATGGCCTCTTTCTGCCCTATAGGGATTCTGTGATTCTTTGAGCCTTTCTGTTTGTCACAGGAAGATCGATTGGAGTCGGCAGCTGCATTCTTTGCAGGAATGGAGATGGGCTGGCTGAAGCCAGTGGTGGGACCGGAATACACGCTGGAGAATGTGGCTCAGGCTCATGAGGACATCATTAAGGGGCCTGGAACAATGGGCAAGATGATTCTTACAATATAAAATGCAGGAGCAGAAGTCTACCATTCAACCTGATGAGACTGCTCCAATGAGATCATGGCTGATCTGATAATCCTCACCTCTACTTTCCTGCCTTTTCCCCATAACACTTGATTCCCTTCCTGATTAAAATTCTGTCTGTCTCAACCTTGAATATACTTAGTGACCCAGCCTCAACAGCGCTATGTGGTAAAGAATTCCACAGATTCACTATCTTCTCATAGAAGTTCCTTCTCATCTCTGCCTTAAATGGGCAACCCTTATTCTGAGATTATGCCATCTCATCCTAGACTCTCCCACAAGGGAAACAACATCTTCCATTTATCTTGTCAAGCTGCCTGGAATCCAGAACAGTACCCTTCTGCCCCACTCCTAGTGCCAGGGCCCCACTAACTGAAACCCATTCCACCACACCGATCATCAAGCCACACATTTCACTTCTTGACATTATTTACACTATGCTAGTTTGCGAATACCTCAGGTAGTAATCCTGATATTATTAGCTTGGAGATTCTGTTTTTTGGTTTAGCTCCTAATTGTTAAAAGTCTTTTAGCAAAAACTCCTTTCTAGTCATGTCAATGTTGTTAGTACCAACATGGATGTACAACAACTGGGTCCCTCCCCTCCCAGGCCAAGTTCCTTTCTGGCTCTGAGGATATGTCCTTAACCCTGGCACTTCAGGACTCATGCTCACAGCTGAAGAGAACATTATCTATTCCCTAAAGATACTGTCCCCTATCACTACTACTTCCCTGTGTCATCTCCCCACAAGAGGCTCACTGTAGCAAGTGGTATGGTCAGGTTACTCATCTTCTCTGCAGTCTCCACTTCCATCCACACAGCTTGCAAGAACCTCAACTGCTGGACAATTGCAGGAGAGAGGCTTTTTGACAGGTGCTCCTTGCGTTGGCATACCTACCATAAGCCCCTCCTGTCCTTAATCACAGAGCAAATTTGAATTTTCTAATCTAACGGGTATTACCACTTCCTGATGCTGTGCAATGTTTCGGAGATGGGGGAGGTGATGGGGGTTGTGTTCAAGCACTCCCAATCTCCACTCACATGTCATGATTATCTGCCCATTTGCACTTAATTCAGTTATATGAATAAAGAAGTAATGACTGATGTATTTAGTTACATAACTGACCAACATGATGCGGAGCAACAAGGTGTAGAGCTGGATGAACACAGCAGGCCAAGCAGCATCATAGGAGCAGGAAGGCTGACGTTTCGGGCCTAGACCCTTCATCTATCTCTGGTGTGGAACAAGGTTGGTGGGTGTGCTAGTCTTTCACTGTTCCATCAGCTTTATGTGTTTACGATACATATTACCTAAAATTCAGAAAAACATTCAGGAGATAAAGGGGGATTGCTGTCGCTACTGATGGCAGTTTAGACATTGCTACAAGCCTTATCCTCATCCATTATTATTTAATTGTCTATCTGTAAATGCCTCTGTAAAATTGACCAGGGGAGCTGTGCGAGCCAGGATGGGTGTTGGTACAGCAAACGCCCTGACAGCAATTCACACAATATATTCTTGGTCAAACACAGCAAGTTAACAGCCAAATCTCAGTTAAATAAAAATTTGTTCTCAATGTCTTTGGGTACATCTCACTTCACAGAACCACAGTGTGACAGCACGGAAGGAGCCCACTCATATCCATACTGGCCCTTCAAACGAGCATTGTTACCTAGTATCACTCTTCTGCTTTCTCCCCATAACCTTGCACTTATTTCTATCTAAATAATCATCCTGTACCCTCTTGAATGCCTCAACTAAACCTGCCTCCAGCACATTTCCAGGCAGTGCATTCCACGCACTAACTACTTGCTGGGTGAAAACGTTTTGTGACTGTATGGACAGGTAGCCTGATTTACATTGTAATGGGATTGGTCCCAGTAGTTTTGTGTTAAACACAGAACCATATGTCTGATGGCCTACCTTGTGACAGCAGCAAGGATGGAATGTATAGGCTTTCTACTGTGAGATTCAGTAGTGGGGTTCAAAATGATGACGCATTATGATAAATCAGAGGCCACTATTTCCAGTGGCAGGAGAGTCAGTGACAGATTGATCGTTGACAAGAGAACCAGAGGAAGAGATAAGTGAGTTAGAGTCGTGGAGTCATAGAGAAGTACAGCATGGAAACAGACCCTTCAGTGCAACTCATACATGCCGACTATATATCATAGATAAATCTAGTCCCATTTGCCAGCATTTGGCCCATATCCCACTAAACCCTTCCTACTCATATACCCATTCAGATGCTTTTTAAATGTTGTAATTGTACCAGCCTCCACCACTTCCTCTGACAGCTGATTCCATACATGCACCACTCTCTGTTTGAATAAAATGTCCCTTAGATCCCTTTTAAATCTTTCTCCTCTCACCTTAAATCTATGCCCTTTAGTTTTGAACTCCCCCACCCCAGGGAAAGACCTTGTCTATTTACCCTGTCCATGCCCCTCATGATTTTATAAACCTCTATAAGGTCACCCCTCAGCCTCCAACGCTCCAAGAAAATAGCCCCAGCCTATCCAGCCTCTCCTAATAACACAAACCCTCCAACCCTGGCAACATCCTTGTAAATCTTTTCTAAACCCTTTCAAGTTTCACGTCCTTCCTATAGAATGGGTATCACTCCCTACACCTTAACCTTTATTGATCTTCCTCTGCTGATGTGTTTCTTACTAACTGCACAGCCACACATTTGTCAACCTCCTACTTGCTATTTCTATCACTTTGAGCAAATCTTCACTTAACATCGTAGTTGTGTTCGTACAAACTTTATATGAATTAGTGTAAAGTCAGTCAGATTTATGAACAAGGAAGAGTAGGCCACTCGGCCCTTCAAGCCAGTTCCATCATTCAGTAAGATCGTGGCTGATCTGATTTTAACTTCAACTGCATCCCCTCAATAATTATTCATCCCCTTGGTCATCAAGAATCTATCTACCTCTGCATAAAAATATTTAAAGATTCTACATCCGCTATCTTTTCAAGAAAGGAATTGCATAGACTGACAACCTCTCTAAGGAATTGTTTTTCCCCTCGTCTCTGTCTCAAATGGGCAACCCCTTATTTTTAAATAATGACGCCTAGTTCTAGATTCTCCCACAACAGGAAACACTCAGTCTAGACCTCTCCAAGCTTGCATGCTTCAATTAAGTCATCTCTGATGTTTTTAAACTCCAGAGGGTACAGGCCTAACCTGTCTTGCCTTTCCTCATAAGGCAGTCTGCTCATTCCAGGTGTTGGTCTAGCCTTCTCTGAACTGCTTCCACTGCATTAACAACCTTCCATAAGTATGGTAACCAGTCTTGTACGCAGTACTCCAAATACAGTCTTACCAACGTCATGTTTAACTGAGGTATAATCCCCCAACTCTTACACTCAATTTCCTTCCCAATAAACCAAAATGTTACTTTAGCTTAAAGAG